TCACCAGCCAACAATATTGCACACACCCTCTTCAAGCAAATCAATTTCAGAGCTGATGGCACCCTACTCACCCAACAAGTAAACATGTACCATCTTAAAGCTTTCATACAGACGATCCTTAATTATGACAGGAATGATGGAGAGACGATACTCAAACCAGCTAGATGGCGAAATGAAATTGATTCTCCTGTAACCTACACTGCTGCAAATGTCACAATGGATGATGCCGCGTATATAGCTCTTTCTACAAATCATCAAGACAGCATCAAGAAACAGAGAGCAGATGCAACAGATTACTATGCAGGAGGAAAGAGGAGAATCTTGAGAATGAAACCAGTTATAGACGTGTTTCACCAAGGAAAATGGATCGTTCCCAAAAATTTTGGAATTGGAATTTTATCTGAATCCAGCAGCTTTGTTCATGAATGGAGAAGCTAATCCACCCAGTGAGGAAGTCCGAGTCAACCCAGAGGATATTAACCTTACCTTCTTTCTCTGTCTGGTGTCCCTAAACCCAGCTGTCTACATGAGCATGATAAGTATGATGACCAAAACCCCAGCCAAGTATCCCATGATCCGTACCGAGATGAGACAGTTTCCCCTGGATAATGGGACCACCTCTAAGGAAATCAACGAGCCATTCAATGGAAAGGTGCCCCAAAGAGTCATCATTGGTATTCTGAAAACTACTGCATTCAATGGTCAATACAACGAAGACCCCTTGGCGTTTGGAAAAATTGGGGTGTAATACATGAAACCAATTGTGAATGGAGAGGAATACCCTTATGAGACTTTGGAACTCAACACGGCTAATGGTCAAAAAGACTTGGTGGGTTATCACCGATTTCTGGATGCTACTGGCTTATTCAATGATGGCAAAAAGAAGGTATGATGATGTGGAGGAAGAGGATAGTATCTCGGATGACCTATTAAATCAACATTATGATGAGCTCGAAAATCGATTACGAGAATGTAAAAAGATGTGAGCCTGTTCAATCATGAATGGCTCATCAAACCCATGAAGATGCGGGGGTATCTTTGGGGGCATATCCGTTATGTCGAAAATGAGTGGAAGATGAAATTGCCAAAACGATGTTGGGAAGAAATTATTATAGTCATGGTGTGAAGGATTGCATGCTCACTGGTACTTGGTGTACGCCCGAAATCATGAAAGCTGTTGAAAAAGGGTACCAGGTTCTTTGCATACAAGAAGCATGGCATTTCCCACCAGACCAAAGAAAGCAAGGTCTGTTTACCCCGTAGGTAGACACATGGTTGAAGATAAAACAAGGAAGTAGTGGTTACCCCAGCAGGGCACAAATGGATGTGCAAAAAGAAGATTATGTTAAAAATTACAAGGCAAGAGAGGGGATAGACTTAGACACCCAGCACATCGAGAAAAATCGAGGAAGAAAGGCCACTGCCAAACTGATGCTGAACTCCTTTAGGGGCAAGTTTGGCGAACAAATGAACAAGGTGAAAACGATGCAAATCACAGAACAACACGAGCTGATTGATCATTTAAATGGCATGATGATTGAAATATCAGACATACACATTTTGAGTGCTGATGTGATTGGATTGGCGTATAAGAAGATAGATGAGGATGCAGTAAAGGGGTCCAAAACCAACATATTCATGGTAGCCTTTACCACCTGTCAGGCCCGTCTTAAGCTCTATGAATCTTGGGAGGTGTTGGGCGATTGAGTCTTATATTGTGATACAGACTCGATCATTTACACGTGGAAGCCAGGTCAAACAGAAATTCCCTTAGGTGATTACCTTGTCGATATGACCAATGAGTTGGATGAAAAAGATTACATCATGGAATTTGTGTCAGGGGGTGCCAAGAACTATGGGTATGCGACAAAACATAGGAAAATCGTGCGTAAAGTTCATAGCTTTTCCCTACACGTGCGTGATGCCAAACAGCTTAACTATCAGATCATGAAGCAAAATATTTTGGATGAAATTTTAGGCCCGCAAGACGAAAGAAGAGACACTGACATTGTGAACGTGAGACACTTTAAGTGTGATCCAATTGCCAAGAAGATTAAGACAGAAACAGAAGTCAAAAAATATGGTTTGGTATTTGACAAGCGGGTACCTCATGTAGGAACATTTAAATTGTATCCCTACGGATATGCCCAGTTTACAGGATTCGATGCACAAGACATTTTAAACATTGAAACACTTTATGAGAGACATTCAAGCCAAGAGACTTTAAGCGTTTTGTTCCCTTTTTATTATTTTTAAATAAAACAAGTTAAATTGTTACAATTTAAATCACGTGTCTTTGTCATCCTTACAAGCATTTCATACCTTCTGTGATATTATCTATCCATTTCTAAGAAAAGCTGTTCTTTGATCTACCCTGCGAAACATATCTTGTAGTTCCTTTTCAATGTTGTCTTGCCGCTTTTGATGTG